CCCATTTTTGGCAACTTGAGTACCTTCAGGAGAAAGCAAACACAGATGTAAGTGTCACACAGAGTGAGTGAATGCCTAATAACAAAAGAGCCATGGATTGAAGATAACAATTTCAAGATTTTTATTAAAAACTGCTTTATTTTTTTGCTCAGTGTCTCTTTTGGTGAATCAGTTGGGTTCTACTTCTGTCCTTAGAAATCGCTGACAGATATTATTGGAAAGCTTCAGAAGTGCACTCCACACTTCATCCATTGCATCAAGCCCAATAACTCAAAGCTGCCAGATACGTTTGATAACTTTTATGTGTCTGCTCAGCTGCAATATATCGGGGTCCTGGAGATGGTGAAGATCTTCCGATATGGATACCCAGTTCGCCTTTCCTTCTTGGATTTCCTATCAAGGTAAATTCTGCTCCTGATATCATTGTTTTATCTGATGTTCAGTGTAGTATCCTGACAATATGTAGCAGGGATCTTCCTTTCGGGTGGGGGCATTTCTTTTATTGTTTATAATCTTCTATCTTGAGTAAAAAGAATACTCTGGGAAACAAAGAAATGCACTGACAAAGCTTATGTAAAAAGTTTTTGAACTCCACTGAAGACAGTACCTTGGAAACCATTTTCATGTTCCCTTACATGTGTGGGTTTCTTTGAATTTAAAGATTCATAAAATTATTGCATGTAATTGTTTACATAAAATTTATTATTTAAAAGAAGAGGATATATCTGTGACTATTTCCTCCAGATTGACAACACCAGGTTGACAAGAATGTTGTGTCAGAATTTTTTGTATCTATTATATCTATTAACAAAATATTTAAGTCACACGTTGGCAAGCTACACTCATGTGCCAAATCCAGCCCACCACCTGTTTTTGTAAATAAAGATTTATTGGAACATAGTCACCCATATTTGTTTACATATTGTCTTGGCTACTTTTGCACTACAGTGGCAACAGAGACAGTATGCCAGACAGTAAAATATTTGCAAAATACTTATTATCTGGCCCTTTAGAGAAGAAGTTTGTTGATCCTTGTTTTAGATAAATTCAGCTCTAAAGCTGTGCACAAGATGCTGGACTGGTTACTAGGAGAAATTCCTGTAGTGTGGCCTTATCTGTGTGTGTCTATCAGCCCTTTGCCCACCGTGCCTGTATCCCAGCTATTTGCAGTGAACGCTCACACTTACCCATAAGCAGCATCTCCTTTTGGGCTATATATTTGTTCATATGTATTTTTACTTAATCAGAAACCTTGCTAGTGAATCCATTTTGAAGAAATTAGTTGATGGGTATTAACTTAGTTTACAAATATCTGCTAATAAGCAATATTCTAGACCAGGCCTTTGGTTTAGATACATTGCTGTGGCTTGTACACTCTTTAGCATGATGAACTTCCCCGTTTAGTAGACAAGTAAATAATGGCCATTCAGTGCTATTAATGGTCAGATATGTACTTAAGTGTTATAGAAGCCCAGGAAGGAGGCCATTTGGAATCAGAGACAGCTTTCAAATAAACATAGTATGAATCTCAGTGAAAATAATTAAAATACACACACACACACACACACACACACATATGTTTTAGGCATTCAAAAAATAAAATGGGGGTGGGCGAAAAGAAAACCAGAAATATTTGGTAATCCAATATCAAATAAGATTAAATTTTTAAACTATACTGATGTAAAACTACTATCAATATTCAAATATAAAATCTAGCATTTATGGTTAAAAACTAACTCTACCACTATAGCATGGAAATCTTTGATAAATCATTCATTTAAAAATAGAGATTTTAAGAATTTTTATGACTAGTTCAGTGTGAGCCACTAGCTGGAAGAAGCTGCTGAACAAAAACATAAAATAAAATAAATGAGCCAAAAATTCTTAAATCACTAAATTTGAAATTTTTAGTTCAGAACAAAAAACATGGTACTTAAACTATGATTAAAGTTCTGTGTTCAATTTTGTAACATTTTTT